TCAAAAGATTGCATCGTAAAATGATTTTCAATACATCATAATGATCATTTATGATAAGCCTAGATATATATATATATACCGTATATAATATATTTCAATTTTATAAAATATTGATTATATCTAAAGAATTACTGATTGAAAAGCTTTAAGAAGACGGAAATATTTATTTATATAAAATCATATTTATATAATAAATTCCATTAATGCATTATATAGATTTGAATAGCATACTAAAAATAATTCTTTAATGGTCAACATGTTTTCTGCATTTACCAATATTTATTGCTAAGATGTTTCATTTGATTGAATTATAAAATTTGATAATTTCCGGTTTATTTGATTTCATTTTACAAATGAAAACAGATAATTTGTGTGGTTAGTGTAAATATTTCACTTCTTTTCTTTACTTTTTTTTTGTATTGATGATGATAAATAATCTGTGAAGTAAAGCTCCTAGTCTCATGTACTTTATGTAAATATTTATTACATTAAAATTGATATCTATATGTCAATATATTAGTCTTCATTCACAGAAAAAATTGAAATTATTAATTTTTACTCTTACATTGATAATTGTTATACCTTTTGAAATAAAAAAATAATATAAAATAACGGTTTAGTCATCAGAATTCACACTAAATAATTATTTTTTTCAATGTAAAACCGATTTAAATTTATTTATTTGTTCTAATTGTAATTTTATTGGGATTTTTTTAAAATTGCATCGCTAGTTTATAAGAAAGTGGTTAATAACAATAATAACAATATGAAATTACAGTCAAGTATTAGAAAAAACAGATATAAATTGATCTAAATATAAAAAACGGTTATTTTTTATTTTTTTGGTAAGACCTAAATCGACTAACCATTGATCTTATTTAAGTATAAATATTGTCAAAAACACCTTTCTTTCAGGGCAGTAAAATTAATGTCTTCGGAACATGTCAATATGTTCTTTGCCTCATCCACCGTGATGCATCTGAGCGTTTATACTTTACATGAACTGAAAATCAAATAGTGTCTTATTCTACATAATAATTAATATATATGTATATTTAAAAATTTAGAAATGTATTAAAATATTTAGTTAATTTTTTACAGTTTCGTATAAATATTTTCGAAGAATCCATGTTTCTTATTGTTATCTGTAATTATATTAATCTTGTAAATTCATTAATTTCATGTTATGTATGTTGATAAAGATAATGAAAATTAATGAGAGAGATTAAAATGAGACTTAAATAAACTTAAATTTTTCTTTATTTTAATCTCTCTCAAAAAATGAGAGAGATTAAAATAAAGAAAAATTTAAGTTTATATGAATTGTCATCGTGTAAAACATCATTTGAATTAATATACGTACTTTTCGACAGACTTTTTTTTGTGAATTTTCTTTAGAAATGGAAATTATGAATGTTAAAAATATAAGCTCCAGTTTTTACTATAAATTCGAATTTTTGAATAATTATTTAAATTTTTTGGTTGTAAATACTTAACGAAATAAGCACTTAGGAAAAAGTTATCATATCACACTTGTCAAATTATCTTGTGTTATATTGATAACAGTAGAACTTACAGTGACATTGATAAGGGGCCTTTGGAAACAATATTAGAACTTAATAGTTAAAAATATGTTTTCTAAAAGCATAATATAATTTACATCTACAATGAAATAAGAGTTGAATAATATAGATAAAGTTACGTCTTAATTTCATTTTAACTTATATAATTATTTTTAAAATATAAATTATGAATTCTCTAATAGATATTTAAGTTTGTTTATTCATCTCATTAAAAAATATGTATAAACAATTAATGGAAATTAATTTGTTTTATTTTCATTTTAAAATTATTTTTATATAACTAGTAAGATAAAATAGATTTGTTAAAAGAGCATATTAAGTAGGCTATCATTTTAAACAAATAGTGACTTCATAAAATTGGCTTTATGTAACAAAATAATAAATATAATTCAAATGTGTTTATAAAACTATTTTATAAATATATAAATTATAAAATTACATAACCTGTATAAGAAAACGTTTTTTTTTTAAATGTCAAATCTTCATACAGTAGTTTATCACAATTATCATACTTTTAGCAACTCTCTTCCAACTTATGTTAGAAAATAAATCATACAAAAGAAAAATACAGGTGTCGTCATCATCATCATTATCATCATTATTAGCGGTAGTAAAGTCTGATTCGCTAAAATGATTAAGAGTGTCATTTCTTTTTAATTTAATTTTTTTGTTTTTGCGCTTTCAACCATTATTTTTATTTACTATTTTCTGACCCATTTCCGTGCATCCTCTGCTTTCTTTACATCAAGATTTTTGTTTTCTCTTTTGTATGGTTGTTTATCTCAGTCTTTTATTGCTTTTAAACTTTTAAAAAGTCATTTACTATTTTCGTTTTTTTTTTTATCAATGGTTCTGTATAGATTTTGTCTTTGATTCTATTGGAATCAGGAACTTAATTTTTTTATTTTCTGACAATGGAGACCTTTTCGGTTTTTTAATTCTGTCAGAAATTTATTTTAAATTGTTGAACATTATATCCATCTATATTATTCTGAATGCTACAATTTTGAATTGACTTGAATGAAAATTTTAAGCCTGTATTGCTTATCAATGCATTATAAAACGGTTTCCTTTCCTTGTCAAAAAACAAAATGGCGTCGTCTCAGTTTTATTTTGGTGCAAATCGAAGAATTTGGGTGAATATAAAATAAAAAGAAAATTGAAATTATTATGTGTTCATAAAAAAAAAGTGCAGAGGCAATTCAGAGTGATGATCATCTAGAATTTGATCGATGAATGAATGAAATATTTGAAAGTACAGTACAGTACTGTACTTTCACGTAACATCGATAGCAAATCAAAATATTTTTTCCGCGTTTCTTTTAATTGAAAGTGCTTTTAACAAATTAATAAAATATCAATTTTTTGAACATATTTTTAAAGACAAATCTGTAAAATTGTTTTTTGATATATTACGTAAATTCTTTTATTTTATCATTACGAAACACAATGAAGAGCTTATAAAATTTTCTAATTAATTTTTTTCATTTAACTGAAATTAAATAAAACTTCAAACATTTTAAAATGTTTTTTAAACGATTAAGTAGTACAAATAATGCATATATTACGAATTACATAGCAATTCATGTACTTGTTTATCTAGAACTGTTATGCAATTCTTCATTTACCAAACAATTACAGATTATTGTGGATAGATCTGCGTTTCGAATTTAAATTTATTTAAATTCGCCAATGACAGTGTCATCTTTAAAACAACAACAAAGTAAATTAACATTTCAAATAAAATTTAAGTTTTATGTAAATCTTGATATATTGCATAATGATCAATTTTCGTGAGGAAAGAAATTATGAAAGGATAAGAAAAAATCTCTAAGAAAAAAACAATTATAAATAATCTCTGTAATATGTTATAGAGAGACGAAAAAATACAGTAAAAAATTATATTTAATGTAAACATTTACAAAAAGCATTCATTTAGGATAATTGTAATAATTTTAATATTTTTCAAAGTTTCAAATATGTAAAACTAAAGGAAGCCAAAATCATGGGATTATCTAAATTTATTCCTGAATAATGAAGATTCTAGAAAAATGTAAGATTTATTTAATGCATCTGGAATCCGATAAAATTCTTACGACATTTTAAGATTTAGCAAGATTTTGTTTTGCCGTTTCTTAACGATACTCTGACAGACAAACATATATAACTCTTAAATTTGTTATTTAGAAGAAATAAAAAGATCACATAATATTCTAATCAATAATGATTTAGTTAATTCAAATATTTACGGATTTTTATAAATACATGTAACACATAAATTTAATTTAATCAAATGAAAAACTCTTAATTTTAGAATTTTATATATTATTTTTAACTTATATTAAACTATCGTATATTCATGAAAGTAGCTGATTTTTTAATAAATAAATGTCAAAGTGTAAACTACTGAACATATCTGAAAAATAATTGTTGTAAAAGTGAGAAAATATGATTTCCATCATTTCTATCAGTAAAAAAAGGAATAGTTTAGTAGCTTAAATAAAAGAGAATATTCAGCATTTTATTAAAGAAGGGGGTTCGATTCTCATTTTAAATGAAACATTCTCCTTCGTGTTTTATTCTTTCTTTGGCATATGGTTTACACCAGCGATTTTCAATCATTTTAAATTGATTTATGCCATTTTAAGTTAAAAACAATTGTCAAACCTAAGATAGAAGAGAGATTTTCTCAAACGACAGTCTTATAAATTAGAATCCTCGAAGTATTATTTAAATATTTTACCTGTATTTTATCGTGTAAAGCTTATGCGTGCGATACTAATAAAACGTGTATCTATTATACATTTTCAGTATAATTTTGTTTTATTAAAATCGCTATTAAATTAATTGAAATAAGAACAGTTATCAAAACAAATCTTAATCTTTTGTAGACTCTTTCGTATAGTATTGAGAATGTTTGAGGGTCCGCGAACCACAGATTAGGATTTGTTGATTTTAACCTTACATAAGTTAATTTGAATGCTATTTGTTTATGAAAGTCAACTGAATTAAAAGTTCTGTTTTTTTTATAATGTTGTCCTTCTTTATGCAAATATAGTTTAACTTTATTCTATACGAGATCAGAAAATTAAAATGTATAAATAACTGTGTCAAAATAATAATAAAATTTTATCCTTTTTATTTATTCACTATTTGGAATTTTTAATTTACTTTTTAGCTCTTTAATGAATATGTATTAACGTTTTAAATAGTTAGCGTAATACATTATTCATGTTATGTAATAAAATCTAAAAGAATTTTTAAAAAATGCAAATGAAAAAGGTCGAATTATAATTAATTAAACTAAGTAAAGAAGATATCATCTAAATTATATTCAGTATAGCTCGATATAATTATTTAATTTTGATAACTTTATATTATTTATTATATCTTAGCTTATAAAATTGGATTTTTCAGATATTTTACTCTTTTCGTTTTGTACCGTTATGACACCCACGAGGCGAAGGAAGGACACGTGTTGGGGGTCTTTGATCTCAGGAGCCCATAGTGAGGGCTTCTCGTAGAGAGGGTGCTGAGGGAACATTGAAAGGTACTAATGCAGACTAATCAAATTTGAATTGTGGAAAATTTGTTAGAAAGTTCATAATTCTTAAGAATGATCATGTGTACAGTTATATCTAAAACTGTACATATGATCACTAGAATTTCAATAGGTTTACCATTTAGGTTCAATAGGATCATTATAATTTAGAATTTCAATAGGTTATTTTAAATTTATTATTAATTTCAATAGCTTTTTAATGTACGGTGAAGAGAAATAGATTCTTAATGATTACAGAAAAGTCATTTCTTTTTCCCTATTACAGTAATGATATATTACAAAAACATCGTTTAATTGGAATTTTAAATTTCTTAGATTTATCTGTTTATAAAGAGGATCACTTTTAAATTTATTTAGATAATTTCTAAATCATTTCTTGGAGGAAGAAATTAAATTGAAATAATTAATTTGTTTACTGTTAGAATGAGAATTTGTACAGTATATCTTAAAACTAAATTTGAAACGACTGAAAAGAAGTTCAGTAACTTATTTTTCCACCATTTTACTGTTTTAAATTATTTGAAGAGCTTCTGCTTACGGATGATTCTCTTTGCACGTATGTCTGAATTAGAATATCTTTAAATTAAATGTAATGTGTACTTAGAGACTTCTTGGATTGCTCAACATTTAAAGCTTTTGTATATATTTAATTTATTTTCCGTTTATGTGTTTAAGCAATTCTATATTCATAAGTTATTTCATAACATTACTAATTAAATTTTGAAATATCTGTATTCCTGTTTCAGTGTTGTACTTAGTCAAGGCCGGCTTAAGGAATTTTACTTATTTTTATTTATATTTTATTGCTTTAATCAACTTTAAAATTAATATTTTCACATTTTCGTTTATTTTATTTATTTTGCAAGTATTTAAAACAAATGTATAACTTATCAACCGAAAATTATGATTTGACATTGAATGTTTTGTTAATTTGTGTATATTGTTTATACTCTTTAGAGAATCAGTGAGTGCTAGTATGTTAATGAAATATTCTTAAGACATCGAAAATGTGCAATATCAATTGCATTTAAATTTTGTTTTATCATGTTTGGTTTTTTGAAAAATTTTGGGATATATTTACTTTGTTATTTTAAAGTGTCTAATTAATTTTCGTGAAAAACTATGGATGGACCTGAAAATAAAACTTGTCTGGTTGGAAAAATAAAATGAAAAGACAAAAGAAAAAGTTTGAAAAAGCGATCTAAAATTAAAATTTGCCTGACTAAAAGCTAGAAAGACTCCATTTGCTACTTAATGTGTGCATTTTTTTTGTTTTTTTAGTTAAAATGTTTTCATAAAATAAGCAGTAGACTTTGCTCCAAATACTCAAAATTTTCATTGAATAGATTCTGAAGGTAACAATACAGTTAAAATACAGTAATACCCCGAACTTACGCGATAGGTGGAACCGAGCGATAACCGCGTAAGTAGGGATATAATTTCGCAATTTGTGTAAAATACAAGTCGGATGTATGTAAGCTAATAAATGTTCTCGTTAATCTTATCTCGTCTTTAGATTTGTTCACGGTTACAAGAAATAAATCACATAGAGTCTCTCAAGTCTCTGTAGATATAACAAACACAGAAATAAATAACACAAAATAAATTGTAACTATGTGTCGATTCCGCGCGACACGTCCGAACATGTAAGCTGAACAATAGTGTGGGGGGAGTGAGTAATCAAGAGTTGCGTGGCACTCAAACAAAAGACGAATCAACGAGATTTGAAAATCGCGTAACTCCGGGTTTGCGTAAGTCGGGGTAGCGTAAGTCGAGGTATTACTGTATAGCATTGTTAGCTACAATATAATTACACAATATTGATACAGATATTACAATACTGTACCATAAAATTTATTTAATATTAATTAATATTAGCCTATATATATTTGTATTGATAATAAGTTTTTTAATTAGAAGAAAGTAATCTAACTGTTTTATTTTCAATTACATAATCAATTTTTAATTATATTTTAAAAAATTAAAAATGATAAAATTTCTTTATGAATTTATTTTATAAGTTCTTTTATATGTTTATTTATATGCTTATATGATTTTTTAATCTTTAAATAGATTAAAATCTTTTAAATATAATATTGAAAGTTAGAACTACATGCTAATATGATAATAAATACTTACAAAAATATTTAATAAGGAATAGATTTATTATCGTAATATAAATTTTATAACGAACATTGTTTCTGAATGATGGCTTCTCCAATTTTATATTCTTTATGCAGAGAATGTAGAATTTTGTTTCGAATGTCTATAAAAATTCTAAACAAAAGAATTAGGTGTTTAGATCTAGTATTTGAATTTGTGAAGTTTAATAAAAAAATGTATTTTAACTTAAAACATGTTAAAAAAATAATAATAATTCTAATTAAGAAATGTTTCATAACACTAATGAAACAATTTAGGATTACTTCAGTTTTTTAGATTCATACATATATAAATCCAAGTGTTATGAATGGATTTGAATAATAATTATGTTTTAGATATAATTATTGTCAAAATATATCATAAATTACTTCGTTTTTTCATAATAAAACATAATGAAATTTTTTATTTCTATAGAATTTTATATATAATTTAAAATGTTTTTTGGTCTTATAATATTTATTAATAGCAAAGTAAAAACAATCATAATAATGGAACTGAAAAATTGTTTTCTTTGTTTATTTGCTTTACTATCTTTAAAATTTCATTTATTTCATTATTTTTAATTATTACATTTATGTTTTATTAATTTCTCATTATTAAACACGAAGCGTCATGATTATTAATTATTTCTAGGATAAAATATGAATGATACTACATAAACCGGAATTTCTATTGATAATGATAACGTAATTAATGCATATGGTATCGTTCCGAAACACGTGGGTTCGATTCCTTCCAATATATTTCTCTTCACCTTGAATGTATTAGTAGCTTATTTCTATTTTTATTTTCTTCTCATAATGAAATATGTATTATAATAAATTGTATGGCATTACAATGTAACAAAAATATCAGAAATATGAAAACATCTGTTTTATATTTAATTACTGAATGGATATATTCTTCACTAAAAGATATGATTCATAGCATATTCGAATTCACAACGTCATCTTACTCCATTACTTATATTCATTAGAATGTGAAGAATTTAGAACATTTTTTTCACAATTATTTTACAAAAATTGATATTTTCGAACTCGAAACTGGTATTTACGATTTGACCTTTCGCAGGAAAACCAGTAAAGTCATTTGGTCTTGGCCACACATGTACTGTACCAAAGCCTCAAAAACATTCGTTACAAACTATTCATTCCATTGCATTTCTTGTCTAGAAAAAATCTTTGCTTTTTTGCAAGTCTTGAACGATTTAATTCGCATAATGAATAAATAATACTGTATATGAGTTCTATTGCTTTAATATAATAATTACTTAAAATAAATTACATGAACTTAATATGTAGGCTAAATGTAACAAAATTTAAAGTAATGATGTTTTATTGCTTCCCCTCTAGATCCGTTTCTAATTTTTTGGTCAGATTTTATTTAAAAATTAATTTTTAACGCTGTTTTTTGAAGATAATGGAAGCTTCAAAAAGATAAGTAGCTCGGATTCTCTTGGCTCTGTTTATACTACATTACTTAGAAAAATATGAGACGTACAAACCACATATAACAATAATAATAATAATAATAATTTCATAAATATTTTCTATTGTTAATGATCTTTGAAATTTGTAGCTAATTATTTTGATTTATTTTAAAATAAATTATAAATTGTTACGAAGAGAAAATATAATTTTCGAAATATAAACAACTAACAGTAGAAAGTAGGTTAATTAGTTTACTACAACAATTTAAGGATTCTTAATCCGTATTAGGGTCCTGTGGTGTTGTTTACAAAAATATTACCAGAATCAATTCTTTATGGAAGGTTACTAAAATTCAAACTTCCTTTCATAAAATCATTAATAAATTATTTACAGCCTTGCAATACAAGCATCATTATGGAATACTTTCATTACATGTTTGGATTACACAAACAATAGATAATTTTAATGATTTTTACTGTAATAAAGTATAACTTTTAAAAAAATCTCATTTTAAAGAAAATTTCAAGTGCATTTCTAGATTTATCTGATATAATTCATTTATGAATGCAATTAAAAATGAACTTTATTAATAAATATTAATCTCTTGAAGACTACTTGATTTATAATTTATGCTGTTTTAGTTTAATTTTTATCGTGTAATATTATAAAATAGTATATTATAATATAAAAATTATATATATAGGCCTATATATTTATATTGTGTATTGTACAGTACAATATATAATATTACTTTATTTTATAATAGAAAAAGAAAGATGATAAATTTATAATTATTTTTAATACATTTAGATAATTTTAGCATATAATATAATACATTTTTATAAACATTAATTCCTTGAAAACTATATGATTTATAATTTATGCGGCTTTAGCTTATTTTTATGGGTATTTTTAACTATATTACATTTAAAAGATAAAACACTGTAAAATTATATTGTTAATGGCTATCTGAAAGCTTTGAAAATTATTATGAATTTAATTTCTTTTAAAAGTGACTTAGGGAAGAATGATATGATAATATCTGAGCTTAAAAAGTGAAGTTGGCAAACATCAATAAAACTCTTAAAATTAAAATATATTATTCTGATATAATATAAATATTTAAAACGCAACAAATAGAACATTTATGACATGATTTATACTGTAATTTATAAAAACCGAATGTGAGAATTCAGACTCTGTATAAAATATAAATAGGCGCTCAAAATAATTATTATAAAATCAATAATAATGTCCTGTAATACTTTCTGGAACACCTATTGATATTTTAAAATAATAAAATTCTTTGAAACAAAATGATTTATTGCATTGTGCAAGAGTTAATGAGAAATACGAACTTATATAAATAAAGATTGATAAAGTATCCTGTATTCA